GTTCATCCTTGCACTGGTTCATCTTCTGCTTCACCATCCTCCTCTCCCTCCTCTATCAGCTTCCATGTGTCCATCGAGATCCATTCCTTATCTTCTTTCTTCTTCCTTCCTAATACGGTTATACAGGATTCTTTCCTCATAGCTTTCAAAGACTTCCAGTGTTCTTCCACATAGGTTTCTTCAGGGATGTTACTCGATATCTCCCATTTTGTCTTGATGACTGACTGGCGTGAAGATGTCCTTTGTAGTTTCATCCTTCAGTTTCTGTTCTGGGTGTTGAACTTGAACTGTGGTCCATCATCAACTTCTTTGAAGGCTTTTAACTTGATTTGGAAGCTTCCTTGCACTAGATTGTGGTCTGAACCTACATCTGCTCCTCTTTTTGATCATATCTTGCATCCAGTAGGCTGCGTCTCCACTTTCTTCACATTGAGATGAAGTCGATCTGATTTTTAGTGTGTCCATCTGGTGAAATCCATGTCGCTGCCTTGTGAATATCCTTGTGCTTGAACACACTGCCTCACTGCAATCACCAAATCGTTGAATGTACAGAATTCTGCAAACAATTCTCCATTCTCGTTCATCACCTTACCTAGCGCTTCTCGGCCGATGGTTTGTTCTATTCCTGTGTTATCTGCCCCCAGTTTGGCATTCATGTCGCCCATTAGAATTTCGATATCGCCAACTGACGTCTTGTCCAGTGTTGATTGCAGTTGTCTGTAGAATTCCATTTTTTTCTCCTGATCTGCATTATTTGTAGGTGCATGGCATTGTATGATTGTGACTTTCCTCCTTTTTGAGCTGAACCTTGCTGTCACGATCCTGGAGGAGATCGGTTCCCACTGCATGAGAGCCTTCGATACTGTTGGGGACATCATGATAGCCACTCTATTGCTCAGTGTGCTCGTGGTTGCCGTCTGGGGGGCCGGAGTAGATTATAGACCCTCCAGTTGACAGTTTGAAGAGTCCACTCCCATTCCATGTGCTTCCACAAATTCCAAGCACTTCAATGTGATACCTCTTCATCTCGTTTGCAATCTGGGCTGCCTTGCTGGGTTCAGACATCGTGCGGACATTCCTTTTTCCCACATTTACTTTCGCTTTCATCGACAGAAGAGAAGGCACATCGGCCAATTGGCTTCCCGAAGGCTTTCACCAACTGGCGTCATTTCTCCTCTCCGATTCCAGCGAGGAATAATTTTGTTATTATTTTTTATATTTCGTTTGTGCTTTGAAGCTTCTTTAGTGGTTAGATTTGTTTTACGGGGTAGGGTTGCCCAACCTTCCCTCTTCACCCAAGCTTAGGACCGGTTAGTAACTAGTGAACTAGTTAACCAGGCGAGGTTGTATATCATTACCACTCTATTTATTACGAATAGTTAAAAAAAAACGGTAAAAGATATAATTCATTAGTGGCTGTCACCGAATCCTCAACGACTTCTCCACTGTTATCCACACAGAATTTCAAACAAAACACTTATCCACAATGATTGGCCGAATGCTTTATATATATGAGCAAATTTATGTATATTAGCGTAAAGCCTGGTGAGAGCTAATTGTTCGCCTATACGTATTCTTTTAAAATACTTATTGTATCAGACATTGAAACATGTTGTAACTTTGTATATTTAAATATAGTGTCAGTCACGCTGTTTTTGGTTGACCTATGTAGGGGAAATGTTACATGGAGTAAGTTGTGTAGATTAAGAAAAAAGTTGGACTGTTTTATGCATTTATGCAGGGGATAAAACAGTGGGAATATTTCATTCCTATAAAAAAATTGTTATCGTGAGAATTTATATGCTCGTTAGACAGGAATCACAGATGATCCCTTAGAATAGCTTTTTATTTCTCTTTTCAACTAAAATAAAATAATTTTCTGGTCTGCTGCAGGTGCATTTAATTCATTTAAATCGAAATAAAAGGAGCTTTATTCAGTAACGCATAAATACAGGATAGTAAACAATATTCTTATTAATGACGGATAGTGGCTAGCAATGGAACTCAGGATGCACGTTTCGTTCTACTTGGGACTCGTCAGCTGGGTATACCTAGTTCCCATTCAGTGGTGTTGTTCCCGTTAGGACTCAAACTCGGGCATTAACCATTAGGCCATCGGGTTATGACAGCCATTTCTTGTGCGACGGGTGTAGTTTTCATGTTGTATAGGACGAAACTCCTGTTCCGGAATCCGCTGCTAGCTATTATCTACCACTGATACATAATAAAAACAAAACCAATATCGAGGTATCAGCACAGGAGCCCATATGCCAACAGAGATGGATCGATTAGGTCCACTCAATGACGGGATAATACAACCAACATCATTAACAATATTTTTAATTGCACAGGTATAAAAGTAAACTGAATACTGCTGAATATTCACAGTGTACCTTCGTATGCTGAGAAGTATTTTTATTTTCGATATGGTTGGACAGGAAACTTCAATTACAAAAGAATTTGTGGGATAGATAGGTCTTTGAAAATTAAAAACATACCAGTCCCTTTTATAAATTTGTGAAGGGTAATTAGAAGATATAGTTTACTTAAAAAAAAGGGTTTATTCCCCCCGATGTATTACGAACAGTCATCTGATCAGGCACTTGCTTCTCAAGACATTGTGGAAGCAGATGATGAAAAACAATATGATAATAACGAATGTAGCAACAAGAAAGGTGACAAGAGAAGAAGAATACATTTCAAAATCACCTTCGGCTATAGTCAGACATAACTGAAGCGCATTATTTGAAGCAGATCAACACAGTTAAGAGAAAACAAAATACATTTTGCAGCACAGACCTCATCACCTCATCAGTTTAGTACTTCCGCATTTCTTTTAAGATAGATAAAAGAAAGTTAGACGCGTAAGGATAAAGTAAGCGCGCTGTATATCAAGTCATTTATCGTGAAAATAAACTTGTCTTCAGGTCAGATATAGGGTAAATCAGTTTATCCAGTAATTTAAGGCAGATAATGCAATCATTGGAGTACACCACATCATTCCACTGAGTATACCAGTTAACTGTATGTGAACACAAATGCATTTGAAGTGAGAATCAAAGTATGCCCTTTAGGATGATGGAGCATATATAATAAAATAGCTACGAAATCAGCTGGATTGATGATAATGACAAGTACAGGTGACAACAACCGTCTTTATCCACCACAAAATACATTGCTGATAAGGTTCACTAAAACTGTATTAAAACAGCCTTTACAAGCTTGTATCAAAATTTTCAGAGAGTTTACTGAAATGCTAACCATACACAAAGTTAATATACCCTTATATATTAAAAACAACTCGTCTTTACGCTGAACTTACCTTGACAATATTAGTCTTATCCTATTGCTCAGGATAGTTTCTAAACTCATTATCCTCTTTTTATTACTGTTCACATTCGTAAATTTCTTACTGTCAAATATGTTTTTCTTCATTTACTTCCACTTCCATCTGATAAAAAGGCCTTGAGAAGTAAATTTATGATCAAATGATTGTCTAAAAGGTGTCGCATGTGTAAACCACATTTTTAGATAAACTATATGTCCTAATCAGGGTATCCAGATAGGACCAACTTGTTTGTAATCTTATGTGATAAATGTATCAAAGTTGTTACGAAGTTTTGAACATAATTTTTCCGAGTTGTATAGTTTTCAAATAAAATTTCTCATGGAAATCAGTAGTTGGTTGGTAAGAGTTATCATTTTCTACGAGTATTATTTTTGAATTAAACTAAGATTGCTGTTTCAGTTTTCACAGTGAATGAGAATAAAATATTGATTCTAACTTATGCAGTAGGGATAGCGAATAAAACTACGATTTTCAGAAGTATCCTGAGGGTTTTAACTATTATAGAAAGATAATTATAATTATTGACACCCGACATAATAAATGTACAACCTTGCAGAACGGCCAGTTCTTCTAAGTTCGCTATGCTTTCGACAAACACTTCCAGGAAAAAAACTGCAGAAAATGATATGACTTCAAAATGAACAAGCAGCATGGCATAAAGAAATCATAAACAGTTCAACGGGAGGTAGTAAGGTAATAGAAATTTACAATTAAATAAGCTGGGTAAGTATCTGCCCTGCAGTGGCCAACTTTTCATCACATCATAATACCTAGAGTCGCCGACCACTAACTGACTGCATTCTAAAAATTATGAGCAGAACACATCAAGTCCATTTTATGTTTCAGACAAACTTTCCAATATCTTCTTGGGTGATTATCAAAAGTAGCTTTTTCACTACCAACTACATAACCGAAAATCGTCGTTTAATAACCTATATGACTTATAAAAACCCAGCAAATACTGGCAATACTGAGAGAATGAGCGTTACTGCTAGATTCACGTTATTTCATGGTGGTGTCTAGCTGCATGCAGTGCGGCATGCAATAAGTAACAATCTACAGAATATTAGGCAGAATTTTTACCGACCACCTGCATTTAAGTGACTTAAAGTGGAATTCATTGTAATACTGATTTACTCACGTTAATTACACTGCAAATCTATGAAGGATATTTTTTAAGTACCGAATAAAGTCGAAGTAATACTCATGACCATCCGATCATGCAGGCGTTCACTTGGAGTTCGCATTTTTTTTTATTATTGCCATATTTTATTTCCATTCTAAGTGAAATGAGTTAAGAAAGCAAAAATAGTAATGATCTCTAGTTTTCAGATAAACCTAGCCTATGAGCTCTACCAGGATCCAAAAACTAGTTGAGCATAATTTCTTATGGATTTCTATCAAATATATGTGATGCTTCTACTTCTCCAAGTAGCATTTAATTTTTTTTTGTGGAGAAATTATGTTATTCTGAATTAGAATAAGAAAAAATAATCAAGGTTAAATAGAAATTTTGGGATTTTTAATTATTTCACTAAAGTATTCATTACTGTTATCATTACTCAGAGTATTTAGCATAATTAACCGTTTGGAATCAGTGAATGTTATTAATTTCTCAGAAAGAAAAGTAAACAATGGGAGATTAACTTACAAATTTCCATTGAATATAATAACTCTTGCATCTGCACGCCAAATACTTTCTAAGATATTAACTAATGGTTCTAAACATGGACGAATTTCTCTTAACATTTGATCTATACATTCAGTGAATTCAATAGAAGTTAGTCCTTCAAACGGAAATTGATAATTTATTTCAAATCTATGAAAAGAAATCAAAACAATGAAAAATGAGTCAAACCAAAAAGCTATACAATAAAGATGTACACGTATTTGAATAAATCGATTGGAACAAGTAACAGTGTATGGATCTTTATGCCTTCAAAATATGAAGACGTAAAGTAACAATTAGCTTATGTGTATCATCATCATCAGTAGTAGTAGTAGTAGTAACATTATGACGTTAAGCTAACTGAATCGCGAACAATGTTAGTCCTAAAAATGGCAGTGGTTACGCTGATGGTGATAGTAAGAGTGATGGTTTTAGGAAAACTGGTAGCCCTGAGCTTTTTAAAAGTTAGCGGACAAGTAGCTTATTTCTGCGTAGGTTGAACTCGTATCCAGTGTCAGTGGAATTTGACATGATGCACTTAAATGTAATTTTCTTTTTGAGTATGAAGAATTTGTCAGTGTTTCTGGGGTGTGGGTAGATCAATATGTTTTGTGGAAGTGAAAGACAGTTGCTATGAAAGGAGAGAGATTATTTTCTAGCTAAAAACATGAAGAGTAAAATGTTAACGAAATTTCTAATTTTATTCCTACCAAGGCCTAAATTTCTAACTGTTTACAGCTGTTTTGGAAGAGATATTTCAATGGATTCCTAAATTAACGTCGTCATATCAGAATGTAATACATATGAATGAAAATTACACGTCTATGTGAAGGAGGAAATGAATCAATCTGACGGCTGTTTCAGGCAGATGTAATCTACACAGTATTTATACCTCATGCTATTTTCCATGTGTCATTAATTTCTGACTATATAAAAGAGTAAGGATAACACGTTTTCAAACATCACTGTTAAATGCTGAGAATAACACATATGTGACAGCTGGTGCACCTTTGACCAAACTGCTGTACTATAAGCCTAAGGAGACAAGTAGATTTACTACACCCGTACAATGCATGACTTTTAAGTGCTTTTTACAAAAATGATTGTCTTTAGTTTATGGTATCAATAACTAAATCTATAGGAATTAGCTTTTACTAAATCTGCACGGGGTTTTTAGTCATCAGAAAGCATACTCTTCCTTTTCAGCTTTCAAAACAGTAAAACTTTGTGAACCAACATTTAAAATGGACCGAAGCTTGTTTTCTGTTGATTTCTCTTCCAACTCTCCTTTTTGAATATGATTGGCTGACAAAATCGGCGAATACAAGTATGCGCTATTTGGGCTACTATATGTCAAGAATCTAACGGATAGTATTACTAAACACATGGACAGATATCTTTTCAACACCCTATTGACAAACAGCAAACCCTAGTGAGCATGAGATAGTAGGTGAAGACAATCTTATTCGGAAAGAGTTAATGAACATGCGATGTGAAGAGTTTAAACTTAATTTCTTTAAGAGCCTGATACTTAGTACTGGAGACAGTGAAATGTAACCGTCAAACTTAAAAGGTGATAGATGAAGCACTCATTTTAGAGTGATAGGTCATTTTGAGACTTTGAAAATCATGAGTTTCCTACTTATTTATTGCGTCAGGACTAGGTTTTAATGTGTTGCCTTGTAAATGTAAATGTAATAATCTTCAGTCCTGATATGCATATATGAACTCTCGACTTCATTTCTGGATTTAGTAAAACAAGAAATCGGTAGCTTCACAAAATGAATTTCCAAATGTTAATAAAATTCTTAATATGTTATTACTAAACATAAGGTAGTTTTATGATTTGACTTTTTGACACGGCGATATCAAATTCGTAGGCTTTGATATTTTTAAATCACTTTGTGAAGGAAGAGGTTTTAAAAAAGAAGGATAAAAATGAATATGCTAAGTGCTATATTGGGATAAAAATAGCCTTCAATACGGATGGGGATTAAAAAAATTAATAGTAAGTGGTTGCATGGGATAAATGAACTGGAGCATAACGTTATTTACGGGAGTGAACTGAAAATGCCCATCACAGTGCCACTAAAGGTTGTGACATGAACACTATTAACTAGGAGTTCGCATACACCATGAAAAGATATATATACAGTATTTAAAAACTGTAATCCGTGGGAAATTTAAATCATAAGGGAAAGAAATAACTTTAATGATGGTCACGGTTATAAAGCTAGTTGATGGAGTTAAGGTTGACTAGTAACGAAAGGGATGCGTAGGACTATAAGATCGTTCATAGGGAGCATAGCAACTACGAAAGGGTAAAATCGTGGTACAGCTAATAAGAAACAAAAGACTGAGTTATATGAGTGCCATAAGTTGACCGAGATAGACTGGAAATGATTTTAAATTTTATTTTTTAAACTGAAAGTTTTCTTCGCTGAAATTGTCTCTTCAAACGGGATTGTTTCGATATTTGAAGAATAGGAAGGATTCTTTGACGGTAAAGTAACTGGAAAAGTTTCCGTGTTTTTCTATCAGACCTGCAGAGGCGAATGGGAAAATTTCTTTCTTAAAGAAGTGTGCGAACAAACATGTGTATCGTAAATGTTTTGGAAGAATTTAAGACGCAAACATATCTTTCCTAATCTACAGCTAAGAGAATACTTTCTTCGCTACAATCGTTTGTTTATTTGAAATTATTAAGAAGAGATAAGTAAACTATAAAATGTACAAAATAAAGTGCTGATAATCAGGTTTAAAGAGCGAAAAGATTAATCTGACGGTGACGGAAAGTCGAAAAACGAAAGAAAACTTGATAGAATGAAGTTAAGGCCAAAGCAAAGACATTGATTATATCTACTACTTTTGCACTCAGAGTCAGGCGTTAGTTCATGAGCAGTCGAGAACTCTTCTGTTTTTAGAAGTTGAAGACGGAAGAAGCATGAATATTTGAGCGATAAACAACCAGGAAATCATTGTGTTGGGTAGCCTGAATGGTTGCAGTTGATCACATGTTGAAGGATAGAACGTCTAGTGCATTTTCTTGCATACTTATGAAACCAGTCCAGAATATGTTCTCGTATATATGTTGATAGCTATCTCTGGCCTTGCTCCACTGCAGCAGGCGACCTGGTTGGTGTAAATGCAGGTGGCGCGTAGACGGGTTTTGCCTTTTACTCCCACCGAAAAGAATTTGCGGTTATTAAAGGTTAAACGAAGTTAGACTGAGAAGGGCATTTTGCAAATCAACCTAGAAAGATGTCTTTGCAGTATGTTTGTTGTTACATCAGCATTCAATTACAGAATAAGAAAAAGTAGATGACTGATTTTGCATGCGTTTCCCTCATATTTTTTACCAGAAAATTGGCTGACATAGCCTTTATCCAAAAGTTACACGTTGTATTTGGGTTTCCTGTAGCTGGCTAAAATGCTAACGTGGTCAACGTGAAACCTTACAGTCCTAGTTTCAACCACAGAAGGGGTCATTTTTAGGCATTGCTGAGGAGTTCCATGCTAGGATGAAATAGTTGTTCATTGTACCTGTGTTTTCAATAGCTGTCTAACAGATGCTGCTCTGTAATGAATATCAACTTGGGACCAAAATATCATCACAGACTTACAAGCCGATTTAACTTAAGTATTTCCTTCTTTAATTGCTAAAGTGTTACCTACCAAGCAGTTACTTTCCTTTTAGGCATTTTTTTCCACTTTCCTATTTTTGTATGCTTTCCAAGCCATTTCTTGCGCTTAAATTTTGAATCTCAGACCTATCAAAGTGCGGATTCTATATTTATATATAGATTTCACAGGATATCGTATCTTTCGCAAAATGTATATACTGCTATACATAATAACGAATAACCTGTTCAAAATAATGAAGATAACTTTCTATTTATCCTTTTTTTTATAATGATTTTCCATATATCAAACGGAATGGTGAAAAAATTTGGGTGGCAGAGAAGATTGATGACTTTTACATTCAGAAAAATACCCTGAGGTGATAAATATCAAAAATAAACGAAGAAAAGAATGTATGTCTTCAACTGGCATGATAATGAAATGAGAGAAAATACAAAATAAGGCCATCGGTAAGTAAGTATAGTTTTCTGCTACACCAATAGTGTTATATAACTCTTAAGTTAGGTGTTACGGGATTCCAGAAATTTTCTTCGTAGTTTTTAATCCAAAACTGATGGAGCATCCACAAAAAATATGGTTAGTAAACTACTGTTGGAGTCTAGGAAGGATGTAAATTAAGCTTTCTTTCTGAAAGTTGCCGTTGATTAATAAACCTGATTTCCCAACTGAGATAATATCTACTATACAATAAATAGATTGTTAGTGTAGAACTTAACGGCTACTGTTTTGAGATGATTTGTCAGCACTAAGAAAGTTAAAGATTCTTTCTACAGTATACAACAGTTTTGTGAATATAATACTACTTAAGTTAACAGATTTGTTAGAAATCTGATATTATTTTAGTAACATTTATTTAGATTTGTGCTATTTCGGACAAGCTACTACTTCATAAAAGAAGTGGCTTGGCTTTAAGTAATATTCAATAGAAGCACACCCAACAAGCTGCTTTCTTTTGAATAACCGGTTTTTCGCAGCACTGTCACTACTTCTTAAAATGCACCAGTTTTAGTGTTGAAAGGTTATCTAACTGTCAATTTAACTATAATTCAGATAAAGTGATGATAAAGCGTTCACTTCCAGTGACGTAAACCTTGCCTGGTTAACTTGTTCACTAGTCACTAACCTGTCGTATGACCGGATAAAGAGGGAAGGTTAGGCATAGGGCTGCCAACTCCACAACCTAAAACCAATCCAACCACAAAAGAAACTTCAAAGCACAAAGAAAGTATAAAAAATCAAAAGAAACTTATTCCTCGCTGAAATCGGAGAGATGAAATGACGCCGGTTGGTGTAAGCTTTCGGGAAGCCAGTCGGCCGATATGTCTTCTCCTCTCTCGATGAAAGTGGAAGTAAGGATGGAGACATGCAATGTCCACACCATGTTTGAATTTAGCAAGGCTGCCCACACTGCCAAAGAGATGAGATGTTATAGAATAAAAGTGCTAGGGTTCTGCGAAAGCAGGTGGAATGGAAGTTGACTCTCCAAACTGTCAACTGCAGAGTCAGCAATCTACTCCAGTCACCCAGACGACAACCACGAGCACACTGAGTTTTCGAGTGGCTATCATGATGTCTTCAAGAACATCGGAGGCTCCCTCTCATGCAGTGGGAACCAATCTCCTCTTACAGGATCAGGATCATGACAACAAGATTCAACTCAAAAGAAAGGAAAGTCACAACCATTAAATGCAACGCTACGCACCTACAGATAATGCAGAGAAAGAAGGAGGAGGAATCTTACAGACAACTGTAATCAGAACTGGACACGACCCCATTCTAGTTTGCGACATCAAATTCCAATGGGTGGGATGACATGAATGCCAAACTAGGAGCAGACAACACTGGAAGAGAACCAACCTTAATTCTAGAAGCACTCGGGGAAATGGACAAGAATTGAGAACTGTTTGCAGACTTCTGCACATTCAACGATTTAGTGACTGAAGGCACTGTGTTTCAGCACAAGGGTATCCGCAAAGCAACATGGATTTCACCAGGACACAATAAAACTCAGATCGACTTTATCTTAATCTCAAGAATGTGGAGATGCAGTATGCAGGATAAAAGGTCAAGAAAAGGGGCACATGTAGGTTCAGACCACTATCTAGTGCAAGAAACATTCCAAATCAAGTTGAAAGCCTTTAGGAAGTTGGTGATAGACCACAGTTCAAGTTCAACACCCAAAACAGAAAGTGAACTGAAGGACGATACTACAGCGGACATCTTCACGATAACAATCAGAACAAAATGGGAGACATTGAGCAACATTACTGAAGAAACCTGCTTGGAAAAGCACTTTAACTCCTAAAGCTATGTGGAAAGAATCCTGCATCACCGTATTAGGAAGAAAAAAGAAGAGGAGAGACAAGGAATGGATCTCGTCGGACACATGGAAGCTGATGGAAGAGGGAGGGGAAGATGGTGAAGCAGAAGATGAACCATTGCAGAGATGCACAACAAAAAGGAGAACTGAGTACAACATGTAAAACATTGGACAAAGAATTGAAGATTAGTATGTGGAAGGATAAAAGACACTTCTACGACACATTGGCAAGTGAAGGGAAACAGGTTGCTAGTATGAGAGATCTGACAACATTGTATCAAATAACCAGGTTGCTATCTGGGAGGAAGAGATCAACACAGACGAAACCAATAAAAGATGATGAAGGAAATCTAATTACGAAAGAAGTGAAACAAAGGAAACAATGGGCTGACCACTTCAAAAAGCTAATGAATCGACCACCACCTACACTTCGTCCAGAGATACCACCTGCAGTCACAGAACTACCAGTGAACATAAATCCTCCGACAAAAGTGGAATTCCTGAAAGCCATAAAGCTACTGAAATGTGGAAAGCAGCAGGACCAACGGGATCCCGCCAGAATCACTGAAAACAGATGCAGAGACAACAGCGAACATGCTCACACCACTATTGTAGAAGGTATGGAAGAAGGGAAAGGTTTTTGCAGGTTGATTGGAAGAAGGGCTACCTTGTAAAACTCCTAAAGGAGGGAGACCTCAGTGTTTGCAAGAACTGGCGCGAAATCATACTCCTGTCCACCCACAGGAAGCAAAATATTAAGCCGCATCATACTGGAGAGGCTGAAGGATGCGCTGGATTCAAAACTACGACCGAAACTGGAAGGCTTCAGGAAGTACAAATCATGTATGAACCAAATGGCATTGCTATAATATGCATCATCATAGAACAGAGTATAGAATGGCAGTCAACTCTCTACCTCGACTTCATCGACTTTGAAAAGGCGCTTTACATCGTCGATCGAGAAGTAATTTGGCAGTTGCTTCAACACTGTGGAATACCGCAAGCCTTTATCAATCTGATTCAACAACCATATGAAGACGCCACATGCCAAGTAATTCACGATGGAAAGCTCAGTCACGCCTTTGAAGTGAAGACAGGAGTAAGACAAGGCTGTCTACTATCATAGATCATCTTCCTGTTTGTGGTGGACTGGATCGTGCAACAAACAGTGAGGAGCGAGAAGAGAGGCATACACTGGATCGGGGAGAAGATCCTATAAGATTTAGATTTTGCCGATGACTGGTGTTTAATGTCACACAAACTCGAAGATCTGCAGGAGAAAACCAACGGTTGACAGAAGAAGCAGCGAAGACAGAACTTCGAGTGAACGTAGAGAGGACAGAGATGATGAAGATACCCAACCAACAACACCACCAATAACAACAAGCTACAATCACCACTAACGGGAGAAACTTAAAGAAGGTAGCCTCCTTCATCTATCTAGGCAGCACTGTTTCAACTACAGGTGGCACAGACGAGGACGTGAAAGTAAGGATCGGAAAGACAGCAAAACAGACGTTCATTAATCTGAAACCAGTGTAGAGATCTACTGCACTCAGCATGTGGAACAAGATCCGGATTTTCAGCACCGACGTCATGTCAGTGCTTCTATATGGTTCAAAGACTTGGCGCTTCACGAAAAGCATTGCCAACAAACCACAGATATCCATCAACAACTGCCTACACTCGTTACTGAAGCTCATATGGCCAGAATACTAAGAAAAAGCAAGAAGGAACTCTGGCTTTCTGGGAGCGAACTAACCAAGAACCTATCGCTCAACAAATATGCGATGGAAGGAAGTGGAGATGGATTGGTTTGGGGGCACACTGAGAAGACCGTCTGGGGACATCACGCACCAGTTCCTCGAGTAGAATCCAGATGGGAAACGACTAGCTGGGCGTCCGAGGCGAGTGTGACATGGAGGAGACCGTGTGAGGAAGAAATGAGAGCTTGTGGGCTGTCGTGCAGCCAGGTTCAAAAGACTGCAGAGAACAGAGTGGGATGAAGACGTGCTACTGAAACCCTATGTTCCATTAGGAACCCAAAATACAAATAAATAAATGTAATCCAGTGGCGCAACACCATAAATTAGTCTTCATTTTTAATGAGTGCATCACTTCTAAAATTGACAACATAGTTTGGTGAACAGATTCACTCAAAGTCGGTAAAAGCAGAATTAACTTGTCTCCAGGATGATCTGGTTCATGACACTTCATGAACACAACTACTGCTCTTGTTACATATTCTGAAACCTGTTTGAAGTCTAATCGCCTGCGATTTAACTGTACGTAGGTGAGTTAGCGTAAATGTTACTTAATGTGGTAAGGTAACTCATTTGACCGGTGATTATTTAATGAGCTCATTGTAATAAATGTTTGATTTTTGCTATCTGCAGGTAATCCATGATCTTCCATAAACCCATTGGCAAGATATATGTCAGACGGAAAAAACATAATGACTTATGCAATCGAAAGAAAAAGACCTTCATAATCATTCACTACTGATTCTTAACCCTATTTAATGAGATAAATTATCAACATTTTTAGTTCAAACTTGTGACCTACCAGTCCATTAATTTTCAGAGGTGACGCTAAAATTGTATGATGATTTCGTTAAGTTTGCATGATATGAGTGACTGAATGGCAACCAAGTGGGTCCCAAGGTCCCTGGATTAATCATGGAAGTTTTTAATAGATACAGGTTCGAATTACAAAACAAGAAAGTAGTTACTGAATACTTTATCTATCTTGGCCGAATTAGGTTTCTGCTAAGTATTTGTGAAGATTTCCAACTAATGACCAGTTTTTTTACGGTAACTAGAAGAGCATACAACACATAACATTAAAGTTTGTTTCATTTTCAGTAGACTTACTCGAAGTAGTTTGGATGATCTTGTGCACTTCTTTCAACTTGTAACTTTTTGATTTCTTCGGCTAGCACATCTGAACCAGGAACCAGTGTGTTGTAGACCATAACTACAAGATTCCATTTATACGCTTGCATAAAGTCGACTAATGCTCTTGCAACATGCCAAGTCAGCGGTTCTAAGCGAATAGCCAACTGCGAATCATCCAACTGGTTGAAAAAAGTTGGAGGTAAAAAGAAGAGATAAGATATGTAGATGCTTTTTTGTATAATCTCGAAAAGGAGGCGTGAAAATAAAATAAAAATTAAGTCTTACAGTCAGGATTTTGTGCGATACATTTAGAAGAATGGGGACATTAAGCAAACTTTGCTTGCTGGAATACGTGATAACAAAATGCGATCAAAGTGGGGTTGTGAAGTAACAGTGTTTCGTGACTTCATGCGATTAGTGCCTTGGAGAACTGATTCATTGTCATACGTTTAAATACTTAGAGATACAATCCAGATTGGATCAGTATGCACATCTAAGTAGTTGGTTTTGTTGTAAATTACAGTACAGTATAATTATGAAGAGGCAAACAGTTCGACTTGTTCATAACTGTCTTAATCCAGCCTAATACTAGACTTGATGTATTTTTTACAGGTAGATGTAAGAGTAGGTGAACAAGTGGATATAATTTACTCAATATTCTTAAATTTTGGTACGTATGCAATAGTCACTGAAGGCATGTAGTATGAAGATCCATTGGAGTTTCAAATTTTGGCGTTTGTAATAACAATAACCACTTTTTTTTCCAGACAATATAACTGATACAGAATGGAATTCTCAGCACTTAATATTTCAATGAATTTCATTCCTGTACAAATTTTCAAACGAAGTGACTATGTCATCTCAATAATACTAATAATAACAGTATTACAAGGCAGTAACATCGAACTAACAGCCGCTATTAAATTATCTTGTGCTTTGAAGGGGGAAACGAATAGAAAAGCTCACCTAAGTTTGGTGGTAGTGGTTTATTCAGCCAGCAAGAAAATCTGCAATTCGAGTTTACTATTTCAGTCATTGAGACTATTTAAAGTTATTAAACTATTCATTAAAATAATTAAATTTGTAATCCAATGAAAATGAGCAATTAGTCACAGGACAAATATTTATTTGTTACGATGGGACTTCCGGGAGAAAAATCCTTGATGCAATGTGAATATACTTTCGAAAAAAGTGTAAGTGTCAGTCTTCTTCCATTCCACACAAACTTTCGACTAGAAATAGAAATAGTTGGAAAAAGAATTGATCAGGGATATTAGGCATGGTTTAGTAAAGGTAAACCATATTTAAATGTAGTGTACACTGGTGAATCTGTGCAATTCACTTTCAGCTTAAATGCAACTTTATATCTGATGGGTTTCAAGAGTTCATTGAGACGAGATTGCTCAACTTCTGCTATATGCATTGCAGTATATAAGAGCTTGTCAGTCAGAGGTTTCAAAACTTTTAAGAACTAGTATTACACATGTTTTCCCAACCATTCACTCAATAAATTATTCAACATGTTGCCTTCGCATCTGGGAATAACCACTAGTATAATTTTATGCATACACGATGGCTGTAACTGGTTTACAAAACGATTTTTTTCAATGTCTGCAGATTATTTGGTGGTAAAGACACAAAAACCATCTGTTCAATTCCAACACGAAAAATAAAATATTCAACAAGCATATCCAGTCACTGTCTTATTTCATCTCAAAATATGCACAAATCCGGATTTTTTCTGAAGAATAGAAGTCGTATTCTGTATGAAAGCTGGTTGACTAGAAATGTCTTCTAAAAATATTTCACTAGTAATCGTCAGTTGACAGATTGTCAGAGATAAAATTAGTTTGTGCGAAACAATGGAAAACTGTGCAGTTGTCAGCGTCTAAATGTTTTACAAATAAAGATTTTAAATTCTGACAGTTTTTATTCAACAACTTTTCACACAAGTTATTTCAATAAACTACTTAGAAGTTTCGCAACTTTAGGCATGACATTTTGCTAGATCAATCATACTGAATGGGTTTAGTCGGTTATATTACTAGTTTTTATAACAGCCTGTTCTGTGCTTTTGTTCCAACTGAAAAAATTAAACTAGTTATAATATTTTCAAAGTTTGAAACTAGTACAGATTTAGTATGATCTGGGAGAGGGTAAGAAGACACCAAGTTGCGATAAGCTAAAGATTTGTAGTCTTTGGCATTCAGAACTAATCTGCCGTTTTAAATTACATAGCATAGCCAAAGTGTTCCCATCAAAACTAGCAGTACTAATGCATTCTAAATCCTTGTTGGTACGAAGTTATCTAAACAATCAGTTTATGAAGAAGATTCCGTAATAATCAGCTTAACTGTTATCTGTGATTAACTGTAGATCGATACAAATTCTGCAATTAATTTAGCCTTACAAGTTTGATCTGCATATGATGCTGTCCTGATATGTTGAATGATAATATCTGTTGTGCATGAACAGCTTGCTAGACGGTAATGGTGTTAATCAACTTGAACTGCTCATGGCTAGGGTTACGACTACGCCGATATGACAAACTTTCTACCTAACATTAGATTAATTTATTCGATGTATAACACACAATGATGGTGTTATTTAACTGATGACCTTCTCATCATAAACAATTGCTCATAACCATATCAATGTATCACACCACTTCCAACAACCGATGTTTTATAGTTATGTCACCTCATATTCTTTGTTTTTATTGACGGTAAAATTTTCCATACCTCTAGCGTGGGTATTACGTCATTTTTACTGCATATGATGGCTGCTGATTTGTTGAACAAATTAAAAAACCCGTAATCGATCTCTCCAACTAATTATGCTGGACTTCAGTACATTGGTTTTATTCCACCATATTGTGTGGTTTTGTGTTAATGCACGCATTGCAACAGCCAAGTTTTTCTTCTAGATTATCGATCTTATTGGGGTCTGTCATTCTATACTTAGCTTAATTCCTATGTTCTGCTATTCTAACTGACCCGATAGGTTAGTTTGACCCATGTACTTGACATCACAGTCATTACATGGAATTTGATAGATTAGATTATTTCAATTAATTGGTTTTATCGGGTCTTTATACCGACAAAACTTATCTCTGAGTGAGTAATTAGGTTTAAATGCCACCTTAATTCCACCCTACGTAAAGTTTCTGATAAACCTTCCTTACAGGGTAACACGATGGAGGCTATGAACTCCTTTCTACTAGTGTTATCGTTATTACTCGTACTCGTGTTACTGTTATTGTTTTGTTTCTTATGTGTTCTTACTAGTCTGTTAATAAACTGCGGAGGATAATTATTAACTCTTAGTGCTCCTTTTATGTGCTTCAGTTTCTTGCTTAGGTCCTTTCATTAACTAGTCAGTTTTCCAGCTCTATCATTGAGACATTTGACTAAACCTGCTTTAATTGACATTAGATAACATGATTTGAAGTCCAAATACCTGTTAGAAGGTGTCGGCTTCCTGTAGTACCCAAACCACCGTCTGTCCTTCATTTCAATCTGCAACCCAGCACAGTTAATTCTCCTTGTTTGTAGGAATTTGAATCAATAACCAATATGTGTAACAGAAATGATGCAACGCCTACACTGATCGTTTAGAAACTTTTACTATCAATAAGAACAAAGGATATGAAGTGACAGAACTATCAAAATCAGATGTTGCAAGTAGTGCGATTACGCTGATATGATTATGAGCAATAATTTACTCTGGAAACATCATCAAGTAAATAATATTGTTGCAGTTGTATTACTGAATATATATTCTGTTTGAGTATGTCACAGACTTGTGCAATTTAACCAGAATGATTAATTCAAAACAGGAGTTCAGATGTATTCCGTGTTTGCTGTTTCTATTACGTTTTCCTTTCTGACAGTGAAATTAAAAGTAATTAAACTACAGTTTTTTCAGTTTTATCCTCTATCCATCTTTTTTATTTATTGATTACTTCCAACCTAGTAACACAAATCTGCTCGACTACTGTCTTCAAACTTGAACATGGAAGTGCATTGTATGGGAGTTGTCTGATGAATGAAGTTAAAATCAGACATAAAACTACTAATAGACACCTTTTTATCTTTTAACCGATGGACTAAAAGGTCTACGAGAAAAAGCAAGTATTATCTAAGTCAGTTTGTTCACAGGCGTTGTAAAGTTATAACTGTAGATAACTGCTAGGCTTGCATCATTTGATTAATACTGTTAACTAGCAAATATACCTGTTCCATAATCCCATAGTTCTGATTAATTATGCACCCTACTGCATGCATACCGCTACACTTACCTATGATTTCCTACGATTATAAGTCGATTAGTGAACTGAAAACTAGATTCTTCACCCTGTAACTAGCAGTCCCTTCTAAACTTTATTGTGCATCTGTGGGACTGAATAACAAGTCTATAATGCACAACAAACCATGAATTTGCAGTAGGCAAGTGGTGCTACAGAAAGAGTAGGCTTGCTTAGTGTTAGTTAGTTCACTACTGTTTTTCAACAACAAAGCATTGGACAGTAGTGAATGCGTTGGAAGAAGGCTTTTAAAAGTAGTTACAAAGTAATACAGTGCATTAACTTCTCAATTAGCTTTTAAACTGAATGCGATAATTAGTTAAAACACACCTAACCAGACTTCATGACTCCCTTTTATGGTCTCTTATGACACATGTTGGATGATATAACCAACTATTTGTGTTCCATGAATTATAAGAGAAAAACAGGTAGTTCGGTTAGGAGGTCTGGTTGGAATATTTCCGTAAATTCTCTTAGACAAACCTGGTTTGATGTACAATTTAAAAAGACTGCAGTGATTGATCACTACCCATCTGCATTCTTAAGCACATACAGCTCAATTTCGACAGTATCCTATTTTGACACGCAGTTACTTTTTGACCATATCCGGTTGTTCCATCAACATACATATATACCCATTTAATGTCTTTTGCACATTTCTGTCCAGTCAGAGCGTTATTCTCGGTTGCATCATGTTACAAGAATAGAGTAAAAGTTGGAAATATCTAGCAAGCATTCCTCTTTCCTAAATGAAACTAAAGGCTACTAATTGTCAATAAGTTTAGTTAGGATACAGTGGCAAATACTGTTGGGTAAACATTTTGATGAAACCATGTGGAGCATATGGGGAGAAATGTAATGATGGATAGTGGC